TAAAAACACCATATAAGTCTAAATAAGATGTATCACATGTATGTATTGGTGAAGAATAGAAACATTTTGTGAACACAATTAATAAAATATTGACAAAATTCATTAAACATGACCACAAATTTTTCTACCCGTGTATCACGTGGCCGAGTACGTTAATAATGACCATATTGTAGTACGAGTAATAATTAAGGTGGCATTCATTTATAATTGAAACCCAAAATTATTGTGTGGTACCCGGACTACTGTGGCTATGGCTAACAACCAGTTATATTGTTTCTGTTTGATTTATAATTATTACTAACAATCAATACATGGCATTGAAATGGAAGTTTAGTTTAGTGACTTTAGTCTTCGTTTATGAGTACAGTGTTTCTATTCTTGTGGAAAATGCTAAGATGGCCTTTTAAATGCATATACAAGTAAATGATATAATTCATAGGTAATCCGCTATTGTAAGGGGCAAAGGTGAGGGGTTACTACGATGATGGTGAAGGTCAGGGCCGGGTGAGATTTCAAGGTTGGAGGAGGGTGGGTGTGGGGGACTGGGGTACAGCTAGGGATGTCAGTCGGGTAAACAGTTCGGTTTTGATTTCGGTGTATTGGTTTTCAGTTTAAAATGGGTTGAATAATTAGTTGATCGGTTCATATCGATTTTAATAGTGTAATTGTTTTGTTTCGCATGTCCAAAAAGACATTAATTATTGAACAAGCCAAAGGAGACTTTAACATTACTCCTTCCATCCCTATATTACATTCCTGTTTGGAAATTTACACAGGAATTAAGGAGGGAAGAATAAGAAAAATAACAATAATTAGATAATGCAATGGAAAGTGCAAAGATAGATTAGTTATTACTCATGACATGTCATCAATCCTTTGCAAAAAAAAAAAAAAGGACCAATCACATGCTCTTAATTGAAAATTTTTAACCAATCATATTCATTGTAATTTGGCACAAGGATTATGAGTGAGATTAGGAAAAGATGAGTGAAAAAACATTAAATATAAAACAGAAAAAGAGAGTTGATTTACCAAAAAAAACTTAATAAAAATAGAAAGGAGGAATGTAATTTTAGAATACCAAAAATAGAAAGAAGGAATGTAATTTAGAGACGGAGGGAGTACATTTTTGCCAAATTAATTTCGAGCTCAATTTAGAAGTTAAACTGACCCCCAAAACCTTACCTGGACAATTTTCGTGGCTAAAAAAATTAATGACACACAAATTAATGCTCTTTTTGACACGCAAATTGTAACATTTTTTAACATGCTAAATATTTTTTTTTGAAACCTTTTAACATGCTAATTAAACGAGGCATTTTTTTAATGTTATCAAAAGTCATATTATCCTTAAATAAAATTTAAGTTTAGTAAAATAAGGCACCATTCTTTAGAGCTGTTCTACTCTGCTTTCCTCTGCTGAAATCTTCTCTGCTTAAAAATAATACTTAATATTGAATTATTATAATAAAAATTAAAATTTAATAATATTAATAAATAATTAATATTTAATAACAACAAATATTTGATAATAATAATATTATTAAAAATTAATATTTAATAATAATAATAATAAATAATATTTAATAATAATATTAAAAATTAATATTTAATAATAATATAAATAATAATTATAATATTATTAAGAATAATAGTAATTATAATAATAATATCAATAATAATACTTATAATTAATAATGATGATAATAATAATAATAATTAATATTTATTATTATTATTATTATTATTAATTATTTAGTAGTAGTAGTAGTAGTAGTAGTAGTAATAATAATAATAATAATAATAATAATAATAATAATAATAATAATAATAATAATAATAATAATAATAATAAAATTTTCTCAACTGTGCTCGGCTCTTCTCTGCCATGCCCAGAAGCTCAAAAGAACAGGGCCTAACTTAATTATGTTCAATAAAAATAATTCAATAATATTTAAGTTAATAAGTATTAAATTAAGTTGAGTATAAATAATTTTAATTTAGTAAAAATTAGGTCAACTGTTCTACAAAATTTTATATGTGGCTGGACAAACCATGTGGGTGGGGTTACTTGATCAGTTAGGGGTTACTTGGTCAAAGATTACTCGATCGGTCAGAAGATATTCGATCGCTCAAGGGTTACTCGATCAAGGGCTAGATAGTATGACTGGCCACAAAGATAACATGTTGTTGTTCGTTTTTTCTATAATATCCAAATAATACAATATACAAAATAATACAATGTAAGGTAGAAACTGTGAATCATTAGGATGCCAAAATTCCCGAAATGTAATGATTTTCATCAATGAATCAAGAGATTTGCCCTAATGCATTAAGGTGTTTGGAAAGCTGAAGTTCAATATTTTTTGACTTTTACGTAGCTAGCATTCACATCATTATTGTATGTTTTGGAATATTGCTAAAGAAAAATTAAATAAAATGTATACGTGTTGGCAAATATTAAATGCTGTTCAATTTGTACTTCAATCATATTCATCAAATGCTGTTCAATTTGTACTGCTTCATCGTCCACATATGAACGGATAGATAGTATTTCATCGCTGACATATGAGCATCAATAATTCAATACTAATGCAAAGATAATATTATACAATATATATCAAATTTTACTAATATGTATCATAAATTAAGTTAATAATCCATGGAAGATGATTGTATAAACTAATTTATTACTCTCTCTGTTTTTAAATACTTGCTTCATTTTTATTTTTTGCACTATTTATTTGTGCTACTTTGACTAATGTTTGTGATTTATACATAAAAAAAAATGTAGTCTTGTGTATACTTGTTGGAATCATCTCAACGAATAGATTATTAATTTTCAATTGTTAGAATTTATACTTATTGATAATTAAAGATATTAGGGATAAAAGATTAGCATCGGCATGCGTGTCCAAGAGAAATGGAGCAAGTATTTAAAAACGGAGGGAGTAGATGAAAATTGGAATTATATATTAATTAATTGATTATATATTCAATAAAATTTTGATCGTTTAATCTTTTTTCATCGCATTTTCTGTAAAGCCAGGGTTAATTATTCAGAGTTACTCGATCAAGTTTTACTCGGTTGGCCAGAATTTACTTGATCGCTCAGGAATTACCCCTAAATAAATAGTTTAGATAATGTTTCACACTTTTCAGGTAATGTTTCACACTTTTTTTTTTAAATTATTCATTATTTCTTGTATTTTTGTACAAGTTTTAATTGAATGCAATTAACATAATTAGGGTTTAAATTAGTGATTCAAATTAGGGTTTACAGGCTCAAATAAATTTGGGGGTTTTGATTTCTAGGGTTTTGGGGTTTAATTGGGTTATGGAATTCGGTTTTTTTGGCTTTGAGATTGATTGAATTCAATTAAATTATTAATGATTTAGATTAGGATTTATGGGTTCAAATTAATTTGGGTGTTTTGAGTTCAAGATGAAATGAGAATGGTGAAAGAAGAGAGTGGGAACAGAGGGAAATTAATTAGGGAGGAGAGAAGATATAGTTGGGGGAGTTAATTAAGTGGAAAAAGTAAAAAGTGGGCCCTGTTATTGACGTCCGATCCTTATTTGGACGGAAAACATTAATGGATAATGCTACCCAAACGTTTCATAACTTGTGGGTAGTTGTAAACAAACGGGTAGTTATTCACAAATGACCCTATATTTAGAGTAGTTTTAGCCAAAATTTTCTACTTTCTGAAATAATTTCTCTTAAAACACTTTCTAAACATTGCCTTCTTTTTCTTTTTTATTTTATTTTTATTTTTTATTAATGATCATCACAACATTTTAATAAAAACCACCCTACGTATAAACCTGGAAAATGGGTCATTCGAGTCGGGTATGGGTCGGGTCATTTCGGTTATCGGGTCAAGTTCGGATCGGGTTGGGTCATTTCTGGTTTCGGGTTAATTTTTGTTCGCCTAATAATCGGGTCGGGTCGGGTATCGGGTCAACACTTCGGGTTGAGTTCGGGTCGGGTCAAATTCGGGTCGGGTCAGTTCGAGTCGGGTCAGTTCGAGTCGGGTCAACTTCGATCGGGTGATGCATTGAGTTACACATTACAAATAAATAAATAAAAAAATTAAATAAAGTTAATTTCATTGCGGTTTTTTTCAGTTTCGGTTTGCTAAGGTCAAGTCTTTAGCTTAAATAGATTCTGTTCATTTCAGGTATAAGATAATTTTGGTTCGAGTCACTTTGGGTTTCGAGTCTATTTGGGTCAATTAATTAAAGTTAAAGGCCGGGTCAACTTCGGGTCGGGAGAAATTCGGGTCTCGGGTCAACTTTGGCTCGGGTCATTTCGGGTCAACTTCGGTCAGGTCATCTCGAGTCGGGCCGGGTCATTTCGGGTTTTGGGTCAAGGTCGGGTCAGATCCACTTCGGGTCGGGTATGGGTTGGGTCGGGTTGATTCGTGTTTTGGGTCAATTTCGGGTCATGGGTCGGGTCATTCGGGTCGGATCATCGGGTCTGGGTCAGGATTGGCAGGTCTACCTACTTATATTATATGTTTCTCCTGAAATTCCCCGTAAAAGTGATTGTGTCATTGACACATACAAAACCACTAGGGCTGTATAACTTTAAATGAAACACTTTGATCTGACATGTATTGGATTAATTTTCTGGTTGAGTTGAATTTTAAATTATTACAAAGAAAAATTAAAAGTATGTATAAAGGACTTTAAAATTATACTTGTATAATTGGATAAAAACAAAGTTAGAGAGTATTATTGAGAATTTATTATGAAATTATGAATTACAGAGAAATATAAATATATAGAGTATTATTGTAATTTATTTATTTATTTTATTTTATTTTTATTTTTTTATAGCACATTTTACAAAAGTAATACTTCGTAATTTTTAGATATAACTCTCTAACTATTGTAAAAAGTGTTAAATTTCTATAATTTAAATTGCTAAATTCCAAGAATTGTGAAATTCCTAGCAAGCCCTCATCACCATCTATAAATAGCTAACATACTAGACCTCCATTTTTATCGCAAAAAAGCAATCCAGCCTCCTCTTCTTCTACGTCAACATATAGTTAAAACAAAATGCTGAACACATCCACCTCTAGTTTCAACAAAACCTTACCATTGTTTTCATTGCCCAAACCCTTTATTACCTCAGAAAGTAAACAAAATGGTCTTCACAAATCTGCTGAGGCAAATAAGGCATCTTCAGTTGATGCATTATCTTTCAGAAAACAGCTTTGTAGTGATGCTGCTGCTGTAACTAGGCCTCGCCGCCAAAGCCGAAGGCGGAATGGGGTTGAAGTTAGGGCAGTAGCATCAAGATTAGGAGTCTTTTATCCATTCAGACAACAAACAAATAGGAGTAGTACTCTTACAGTCACCATCTCATTAGATCACAGATTTGGGGATTTGTTTTTTCACACAAAACCCTTCTACTTGAAGCTTACTAGTGTTAGTGGCAAAGGTAAGTAAAAATCACCATATATAGTATTCTAATGGCCTGCACTTATGGAGTTATCTATAGGAGTATATTAGGATATAATTCCAATTCGTATTATGTTACTCCCTCCATCCCTAAATTAAAAGCCTCTTTCTATTTATTATGTGAGTAATAAATGCTTGAAAGAGGCTTTGTATTAAGGGATAGAGGGAGTATAACATAGCAAGTTTAAGAAGACGTTGTAAGTCAACTTAGGCAAGACCTCACAAAACTCTTTTTTGTCCAAAATTAGTACATGCCATATACTTCATTTTCGTTTTTTTTAGTTGACACCATTTGGCTTTACACTTTTCACATAACACGCTTTGACTCACTTTTATAGTCTATTGATACGATAAAACATATTAATGTGGGATCCATTTTGAATCGTTTCAATGTATATTTTATTAATATCCACTTTTTATAATTTACAACGTTGATAATTAGAAATATTAATTGTTAAAAACATGTGTTGACAAGTGTGATAATCGAAAGGTGAAAAAAAAAAGGAAGTATATACTATGCATTTGAGGAAATACGGAGTACAATAAGCTGGACATTTCTTTCTTTTTATACTCATTTATTTAACACGGGACACTATAACACCGGTAGATAGCTGAGTTCATATTATTTTGCACACATTGTTAATTATTGGAATTATTTTAAGTCTAATCAATTGTTCATATGAATACGATAAACAAAGCCTTAAGGCTACTTCTATATGAAGTTAAGAAGGAAATATTACGAATAATTAAACATTCAATCATAGTGATCTACAATCATGTGTTTTTTTCTTGAATTTCCAAAGTTACAAGGGTTGCAAAATAAATCTAGTTATTAACAAAATTAGATGTGTTGATTTCGGGTACCTGTGTTGGATTCGATTAATTCCATTTGGATCGGGTTGGGTGCATTTCTAGTTGAGTTGTACTAAATTATACGAGTAAAAGTCTAAATTAGACTTTATTCGAGTTAGATCGGATCGGGTAAATAAATCAGGTCAATTTTTGACATATCTTAATATGAGTATAACATTAATGTTTTTATGTTTTTGTTTTTACTTTTTTCATGGCTGATTCATAGAACTCGAAGAACACGCTTATCGTATATGGTCTTTACATACGGAATTTAGTGCGAGTTTTAAAATTAGGGATGATTTTGGTGACGTGGGTGTTATCAGTATTACAAATGAACAAAAAGAGGAAGTTTTCATCCAAAAAATTGTCCTTGCCTCAAGTTCCTCTGGCTGTTCTGAAATTATTTGCAATTCATGGTTGCATTCCAAGTATGATAATCCTGAACCAAGGGTCTTCTTCACTCATAAGGTACTTAATAAATTTCATGCATGCAAGTTAAATTGAATACTACGCATTATTTGTCCTCTCATCTTATATTAATGTTTTTAAAAGTTTATTGTTTCACTAAAAGTGTTAGGATAGTTCTATTTAATGTAAAACTAGTTTTTTGCCCGTACAACGCTTAGATATTCAAAAGATTTTTTTTTCTTTTTTTTATTATAAATTATACGAAATATCTATTTATATTATCAAATTTATATAGATTGAATACATTAATGTAGAGTACTTATCTCTAATTTTAGTTTGCTGATATGTTATGAATTTGAAATTGAGTAAAAATCCTTTTTTAAGTAAAAAACTAACAATACATAGATTAAAGGGAATATATATAATACATTTTATAGATTAACGATTAAATTAATTAATTATTTATTTATTTATTTAAGTTGTTATTATTGTTCTATTTTTTAGGTTGTTTATTAGGTTGTATATCCTCTTTTTATTTATTTATTAGCTATCTTATTATTTTGGAAAAAAAAAGAAAAAAAGGATTTTTGGCGGGAAAATTTTAATGTGAGTGTGACACGTGTACTTTGGGAATAATACTGGTGATTACTTTAGTGTATAGGAAGTATTGATGATTGATTGATATTTTATTCATGCTTCTATTTGTCTTTGCACAATTTTAAATATGTGTTAGAGATATGGTCAATATGATATTGTAAATTGAATATTTCAAGTTGACCTGATCATGGGCCGAAGTTCGAGCGTTGTTTTGAGAGAGCGGCGTTTTTTTGTTTTAAGAGAGAAGAAGAAGAGAATCCTAATTATATCAACTGAACGTCTAAACTATGTGGGAGTGTGGGGTGGGCCATGCGCTGACTGGGCTCAGTTTGAGGTAGATTTTTTTTTACCAGATAATTTGGTACCCGCTAATTAAAAAATGTGGTCCAAGTCCCGACCCTGATAACATGCAAGTTTTCCGGGTCGGGTACCCGTCCCGAAAAAATTGTTTTTACCCCTAATTTTCCATCGGGTATTTACTGGGTTATTGGAAAATCATGTCGGGTTTTTTTAACACCCCTAGGCCGAACTAGTTTATGGTCAAGTATGTTGAAAAAGATATGTAAATTACTAATGTTCGTATATCCTAATTTTTACATTGATTTACAATATTTTGTAGCCGTGCTTGCCATCTCAAACACCAAAAGGATTGGACAAGTTGAGGAAGAATGAGCTTCATAAATTGAGAGGAGATGGAAAGGGTGAGCGCCAAAGCTATGATAGAATATACGACTATGATACATACAATGATCTTGGAGATCCCAAAACAAATCATGCGTTAAAACGACCAACATTGGGTGGTAATGAACACCCTTACCCAAGACGTTGTAGAACAGGACGTGAACAAATTACCATTGAAGGTAATTCCATTACATCTATAGATAGATCAGTTATTATTTGTTCCAAAAGTAATTAGGAAAATGTTATATGTAGTACATTTTTTTATTAATAAATAGGAAAATTTATATAAATAACCCTATAGACTATATGCATAAGAAACTAAAGAGAAATTAGTAATGAAATATAATTATTAATTAAATTAATTTTGTGTGATTTTATATAAAAAAAAGTACTTTTATATTTTTAATGCTTACTAATAATAGCTTTAAGGGTTACACATAACACTATTCATTTAAATACTAACAATTACTTGATATGTCACTTATTTGCTTGAACTTTATTTTTTGGCTGCGTTAGCATGGTATATTCCGCAATATTTTCTATTGACAAGAAAACTGGCACATGTGCCAATGTACATTTTGATAAAATAAAAAACTACGTACTACCTCCGGTCCAATTTACTTGCGACTTTGGAATATTTTATATCTCACAAATAGTACCCCAAAATTGTCAGTAATTTGGACCAGCAGTAGTATATGTTGTAGTTCATTAGTTTGTAGTCATTTGCTTGCAACACAACCTGAAGACATATCTTAAGGAAGTAATTAAAGAAGGGTTAGGTAATATGCGTACATAATTTATGTGGTCAAAATTCACACACATTAATGTACAGGAGAAACTTTTGAGACCAGGTCAGCCAATGTACCATATGTTCCTAGAGATGAAACTTTCTCAAGTTTGAAAAGTGGACAATTCGCGTTCAAGAAAATTTACTCGGTGTTGCATGCACTCATACCACTAGTAGAGGAGGCAATAGAGGAGAAAGTATTCGGAACCAAAAGTTCTCATTTTCCGTACTTTACGGCCATTGAATTGCTCTACGACGAAGGAATTAACCTACCCATCGACGATACAGAGCATGGAGGCTTTCTAGAATGGCTGCATAGCATAATTAGTGCTACTGGTGACATTAAATATAAACTTCTATGTTTTGAGCTCCCTGAGATCTTTAAACGTATGTTCTTCCCTAAGACTTTGTTCTCTTCCTCTTATTTTGGTTGAAATGAAATTATTTTTACCGAATACAAGTATCATTTTCTCTATTATGAAAGGACAGAAGGATAGAGTAAATGTAAACTTTGTTTATGATGTTACAGCTAGTTAACTAGGTTTTTCTGGTTAAATTGCTTAGGGGATAGATTTTCTTGGTTAAGTGATAAGGAGTTCGCACGTCAAACTCTTGCTGGCATGAATCCTTTGAGCATCAAGCGTGTCACGGTATGATTTATATTCATAATTATTAGATAGAAGTGATACTGATTAATATGATGTTAGTCATTAATATATACTAGTTTGCAAATTTTGTAGAATTGGCCACTAAAGAGTAACCTTGATCCGGCTACTTACGGCAAATCAGAATCAGCTTTAACAAAAGAATTGGTGGAAAGAGAGATGAATCACTGCATGACTGTTGAAGAGGTTAATCGATCTTTTGATCATTCAGCATTATTATTAATTTTTGTCGTAAATTAATTTTTGTCATCAGCATTATCACTGATTAATTCCATATGAGTTTACAGGTGATTAGTTAGTTAATGAGTTATTTAATGACTTTGCATTGCAGGCTATAGAAGAGAATAGATTGTTTATAATTGATTACCATGATGCATTATTGCCTTATGTGAACAAAGTCAGGAAGCTTGAAAGCACGACATTGTATGGATCACGAACTTTGTTCTTCCTAGATGATGAGTGTAAAACACTAAAACCTCTGGCTATTGAGTTAACGCGGCCTAAATCTGATGTAAAGCCTCAATGGAAGGAAGTTTATACACCGGGAAAATGTGCCACTTCTGAGTGGCTTTGGAATCTTGCCAAGGTTCATGTCCTTGCACATGACACTGGTTACCATCAACTAATCAGTCACTGGTACTATTGGTGTCCTTTCACTTTTATTTTTACCTTCATGTCCTCCTTATTCAACATTAATATATAGGACAGTCAGTCATGTTAAATGACCAACTCAACCAAAAGCTTAAGCACTGATACCATGTTAAAGGACCAACTCAACCAAAAACTATATGTTAATGATTAATATTAAAGCTTAGAAATATGTTTTATACTCTATCAAGTCCCGACTCAAATGGATTTATTGTACTAATAAACTTTATTTACTACTTTGTACCTGATAATCGCAGGCTTAGAACACATTGTTGCATGGAACCATACATAATTGCTGCAAACCGATACTTGAGTGCAATGCACCCAATATATAAGTTATTGCATCCTCATTTTCGATACACCTTGGAGATCAATGCTCTTGCTCGACAATCATTGATCAACGCGGGTGGTGTCATTGAAACAACCTTCTCACCTGGGGAGTACTCCTTAGAGTTGAGCTCTTACATATACGACAAGGAGTGGCGCTTTGATCATGAAGCCTTACCAGCTGACCTGATAAGCAGGTAAATTAAATTGATTCTTATTACTCCGTATTATTTTTCATTGGCATTATTTTAATTAGTCTCTTTGTGTTGAAACTAAACAGAGGAATGGCAGTTGAAGATCCATCAGCACCACATGGAATAAAGCTCGTAATAGATGACTATCCATACGCAAAAGACGGCCTAGACCTGTGGGCTATAATCAAAGAATGGGTTACTAGATATGTGAACCACTACTACCCAAACCCGAACCTCGTAGAAAAAGATGACGAGCTTCAAAATTGGTGGGAAGAGGTAAGAACAAAAGGGCATGGCGACAAGAAAGATGAACCATGGTGGCCGAATCTTAAAACACCTGAAGATCTTATCCAAATTCTTACCACAATAATATGGATAGCTTCAGGGCACCATTCAGCTGTTAACTTTGGTCAATACCACTATGGGGGGTACTTCCCTAATAGGCCTACAATCGCTAGGACTACAATGCCTAATGAGGATCCGGTTGATGATCACTTGAAGTCTTTCATTGAAAAACCCGAGGATGCACTCCTTCGATGCTTCCCATCTCCAACACAGGCTACAAAAGTTATGTTGACTCTAGACACACTTTCAGCTCATTCTCCGGATGAGGAATACTTGGGTGCTAAACCCGAACCATCATGGAATGACGAACCCAAGATAAAGGATGCTTTCGAAACGTTTGATTCTAAATTGAAGGCATTAGAAGATGAAATTGATAAAAGGAATGGTAACAAAGATTTCAAGAATAGAAATGGAGTTGGTGTTGTACCATATGAGTTTTTCAAGCGCCAATCTGAATGTGGGATCACTGGTAAGGGGGTTCCAAACAGCATCTCTATTTGAGAAACACGAATCTATATACCACCACTGTGATCAATAAAATAACTTGATAGAATGTTACTACTTCTTCTTCTTTAAAAAAAAAAGAGTTATAACATACTTCGTATTATTGATGTAATCCTATATTATGGATGGAAGCCGGATGATATGAATTAAATCTTGGCTATAAAATCAATAATTTTACAGTGTTATTATTCATCTTATTTATGTGAATACAGATTGCACTATACCTTATTTAATCCGTTCGTTTTTAAATATTTGCTCTATTTCTACTTTTTGTACTCCTTCTGTGTTTTTTTAAGTGTTATACTTCCTATTTCCGGTCGTATTTTTATAAGTGTTACACTTTCTTTTTTTAGTAAAAGCTACATTAAAATATTATATCTCTCTACTTTCATGGTCCCCATCAAAACCCACCACTACTTTTATTATATCTCTCCTCTCACATTCATTGCTTTTCAATAAACTATTAACCCCACTATCTTTCTTTTATAATATTTTAATACTCCAACTACTCCACTTACCTCCTATTTTATTTAAGTCAATTAAATTGCTTAAAACTATGTGCCGGTCAAACTGTAACTGTAATACCCCGTATTTTCATACATATTTTCTGATTAATTAATTAAGAAGTATTTTATAAAAAGGGAATTTTAGTAAATTTATTATTTGGAGCCAAAATAATATTTGAATTTTGGCGCCAAAATCATTTTTGAAAACTAATCATTATTTTGGATAAGATTTATTATCCAATTATCCTATTTAAAAATCGGATTATTTATATATTTCAGATATTTTATTTAAGGCAAAAAAACTATATTTTATTAATTACTTAATATGTCCAAAAATTCCCATTAATTAGCTAGGAATTTCGGATTTCCTATGTGTAGGAAATCTGATTTTTCTTAATTATTTTGTTGGTGAATAATTGGTATTTAGTTAATTAATTATTCAATATTATTTACACAATTATTTTATACCTTAAAAACCGAGCAAAATCTTCCTAAATATATTTATAGGAGTCCGAAAATTTAAGCTATGGTAAGCTCAATATTTTCGGCCCTATTGAATTATTTTGGGGGAATTTAATTGATAAAATTATATTTTTAATTATCTCCCAAAATCTCTTATTTTCCTTAATTCTAATTCTCCATCTTTTTAATATCAAATCATCATATTTTCTTGCCAATCATTCTTCTTAATTATTCCCCAAGTAAATCTAATTTCCTCATTATTTTTCATGACATACATACCTTCCATATTCACGTATACACAATCACCTTAATATCCAAACTTTCCTTAATTCTTTTACTCACTTCTCCCATAAAGTAATCACATAAACCCTACTTGCCATAATTCTTCCCACATTCTCTTGTCATAATTCTTGCATGAGATAGCCTATAAATTCCCCTCCATACCCCTTACATTCTTCACACCAATTCTCTATTTTTCTTCTCCTCTTTTTACACAAATCATCCCGTTTATTTTTGAAGCCAATTTTCAGGCACTTTTGGTCAGTTTTTGGGGTATTGACGTTTCACAGAAGATTGTTTCTCTAAAAAAATCATTGTGGTTAGGCTTAAGAATCACCCAATTCCGAGTTATATTGAAGGAGTTATGACCTTTGCAAGTTCTGCCTGTTCTTTCCAACGAAAATTTAATTCTCTTTAAACCTATTCCTTTATCTTTTTCATGGTTAGTTTTCTAAAATACAAATACCTATTTCAAAGCTATAATTTTACATTAGAGTATTATTTTAAAAGAGTTATATAGTCCATGGACATTAGATTTGAGTTTATGTTGTGATAACCTTATGGTTATGTTATTTGCAAGGTGTATTCGTGATTGAATTTTGAAAGTACGAAGTGTTGATTGATATTCGAAATCAAGGTTCTTGAGATTCTTTTAGTGTGGTTTTTCTAGCAAGGATCAAGGTACATTTAGGTGTCTAGATACCTTTGAAAGTGATTGGTTTGAATAACATGTTTTACATGATTTGATTGTTGATTGGATTAAATTGATTTGAATTATGATTTTGAAATAAATTATGTTTGAAGGTATTTATTTTAATAAAAGTATTTTCTCTCAGCAACCGCAGGTCACCCTACCCTTTACAACCGGTTACCATCCACGTGGCATTTTTTAATTGGTCAATTTTTAAAAAAAATTTTAACTTAAAAACATTATTGTTAATTCTGAAATTTTTTTTAAAAAAAAAACTCTCTTTCTCCTCTCTTTTCCTCCATTGTCAGCCACCAACACCACCACCTACAAACCACAACACAACCACAATCAACACCCACAACATCAACCCACAACCTACAACAGTGCCACAAACAACACCTTAAGCAACTAACATCTGCAACATCAACCACCCACCTCGGCGCGCCGAGAAGCCCATTCACACCTACCCACGACAACCAACAAGAAAACAACTCCAACCCCTGCTTATTACAACCCCATAATTGAAGATATATGCCCCAAATTAAGCTCCATATTCAATTAAGTGAAAGAGATGAGAAAAGGAAATCAAATAAGATTTGATGGGGTCACGGAGAGGTAATAAATGGAGTTTGATAAGGGAGGGGAAAGAGTGGCAGGAAGGTTTAGGGAGGTGAGCCTATTTGGTTGGTTGTTTCGGTATATGGGTAGGGTGGGGTTGGTGGTTTCGGCTAAGTGGGATTGGGCGATTATGAGCCTAGGTAGGATTAGGGGAAGGGCTGCAGGTCTGGGTTTGGGTGGGATGAGGTAAGTGATGACAGAGGTGGTGGAGGCTAAAAGTTCATCAGGTAAACAGGTGGTAGTGATGGTGGGTGAAATTCTGAAATAGAGTTGAAGAGGAAGAAGGAAGAAGAAAGGAGGGGAAAAAATAAGGAAGAAAAAAAGTTACCTGAAGTTCAGGTAACTGGTCAAATAGGCTCGATATGAGAAAATAAGTAATAAACTTAGGATTATTCAGGGTCATTTGAAAGGTTGTATTATTTAAGGAGAATAAGGCAAAGGTTGGATTATTCATGTGAAATTTTCATTATTGGAAATTGTTTTAAAATCATGTTTGCAAATAAATTGAGTTTACACTATCTTGCACTTATCGTACTTAGCATAATTTACTAATCCATATTTCTTATTTGTTTTGGTTTGCTCTGTTTACCGTAATGGTAAGCAGTGTTAACTATTTTCAGGTGGAGTCATGAACGAATGAGCATATGGGAGTCCCGGGATTTGCTTCACCTAGTTTAGGAATGTTAGTCTTGTCTTTATTTTGAGTACTCATAACAATGTTACTATTTTTATAAGTATTAATAAAAGAAAGTTGAGTTTCCGCTGCAAGTTTTGTTGTTGAGTTAAGTATTTTGAGTAGTCTTGCGTAATCACGCGGCGGTAATACGCCCAATTCTATTTCTACGGTATAATTATACGTATTATATTGGTATTTCCGTAGAGAGAGATTTGGGGGTGTTACAGTAACACTTAAAAAAACACGGAGGGAGTACTATTTATTTGTCCTACTTTGACTACTATGAATGATTTCTATGTGGGTACTTATTGGAATCGTGTCAATGAATAGAATATTAATTTTCAATTGTTAGAATTTATGCTTATTGATAATCAAAGATATTATTGATTAAAGTTTAGCATCAGCATAGGTGATCAAGAAAATGAAGCAAGTATATAAAAATTGAGGGAGTATTGTAACTTATATATATAGAGGAACAACAAACTTTTGTTCCCTGTGTATACAGTTAACTTGTATCTGGGTCAAAGATTTATCGTCTAACTAGATACCTGAAAGTTGACGTAGCTTAGTTCTCCTTGGGGTTTTTTTTTCCAAGGATAACCACTCCGTTAATAAGGTCAATACTGGTTTAAAATGGTTAATAAATCACATAGAGTTTAATAATATTGTACCATATGTTAAGGTATTTATAGAAATCCTCAAGCAAGTGCCACTTGTAGGCCCACGTCACGTTAGTGTTTTAATTGAACGACAAATGTCCACATGGCCTACAACAAGTCTCCACGTGGATGGTGGTGTAGGCCAATATGGGTATTTTAATTTGGCCGGTAATTGATCAACATGTCCAAGTGCGAAGACTCGACCCATTCATAAGGCCCATATTGGCAAGCCGATATCATCTGATACAACTTCTTTCACTAGCTTACTATATACAACCTGGTGATGCAATTTATTAAAAGATCGATCTGTTGTTTTCAACTATTCATTTTTTGTTAAATTACCATTCAACAACGAACTGATTTGCTTTGTTAACGCTTACTTAAACATTTATGTGTTTTTATTCGTATGATTTTCCTTTCTTTTTTCTATGGAGTATAATACTGCTTTTAAACTCTCTCAACTTATATTTAGTCAAGCAATATTGTTGCTATTTATGCTCAATTTTTTTAAAGTCCATTCCTTAGGACAATTTCTGTTGGCTAACCCCAAATAATTTTGGGAGTATGACTTTGTTGTTGTTGTACATGTTGTTGGTTCCTACCCTTATCTTATTATCTTCATTTTTAATTTGTTGATCGACTGACTTTTTATCCCACATTATTCCATGTCTTCTTTAATTTATCTCATTTGTCTTATCACTAGGTGAAAAAAGAAGATTGGTACCGCCCCAAGGCCACCGGTTTTAAAAAATCGGTGGGGAAAATATGGAGAAAAATAGGCGGGATTTTGAGGAGTGGTTTTTGCCACCGGTTTAAACCAAACCGGTGGGAAAACCATTATTCCCACCGGTTTGAACCAGTGGCATTTTATTATAAAAAAAAAAACCATATATAAACCCTAACCCTACCCAGCTACCATCATTCACGCACTCACCAGCCTCCCTCCTCCTCACTCCTTCTCTCTCCTGCTCTCTGCTCTCCCCTCTCTCGATCTTCCTGCTCTCCCCTCTTTCGATCTTCCTGCTCTCTTGTCTCACCACCACCACCATCACCACCGCCGTCCTCTTATCTCTCCTCTTCCTCGTCTCTCCTTCTCTCTCGTCTCTCCTTCTCTCTTCTCTCCCTCGTCTCATCTCGTCTCACCACCACCACCACCACTAACCACCGCCGCCACCAACTCCGACATCAACAACAACACCCTCTCTTAGTGCATGCAATGTTTCTGGGTTTAATTATTCGAGGTTAGGGTTTATGGGTTTCAATATTTTTGTTTAATGTCTTGATTTTTTTGGGT